CATCGCCGAGGTCGTGGCCGTTTCAAGTCCCGTTCAGCTACAGCAGCAGCAGGAGCAGCAGCAGGAGCAGCAGGATGTGCTGCTGCTGCTGCTGCTGCTGCTGCTGCTGCTGCTGCTTCTTTTCCACTAACAAACGAAGAAATAAAGAAAAGGGGCCTTATAGAGATGCAGGCGTTTTGTGAGGCCGATGGGTGTCGGCGTTTGCTGCTGCTTAGGGCCCTGGGGGAGGATCCTCTTGCTGCTGCTCCTGCTGCTGCTGCTGCTGCTGCTGCTGCTGCAGCAGGTGCTGATCCTCCTGCTGCTGCTGCTGCTGCTGCTGCTGCTGTTTGTAATGGGCAATGCGATAACTGCTGGAAAAAAATAAACTGCCGCTTTGAGGTATACACACACTGTCTCCTTTTTGTCTCCTTTTTGTCTCTTTTTGTCTCTTTTTGTCTCCTTTTTGTCTCCTTTTTGTCTCCTTTCTGTCTCTTTTTGTCTCTTTTTGTCTCCTTTTTGTCTCCTTTCTGTCTCCTTTTTGTCTCCTTTTTGTCTCTTTTTGTCTCCCTTCTGTCTCCTTTTTGTCTCCTCTTTGTCTCCTCTTTCTTCTCTCTTTTTTCTGTCTCCTCTTCTCTTCTGTCTCCTCTTTTTTTTGTCTCCTTTTTGTCTCCTTTTTGTCTCCTTTTTGTCTCCTTTCCTTCTGTCTCCTGTCTCCTTTTTCTGTCTCCTTGTCTGTCTCCTTTTGTTCTGTCTCCTTTTCTGTCTCCTTCTCTTTCTGTCTCTGTTTCTGTCTCTGTTTCTGTCTCTCTCTCTATCTCATTTTCTGTCTCTGTCTCGCTCTCCCTTTCTGTCTCTCTTTGTCTCTTTTTCTGTCTCCTTTTTTCTCTCTTTTTCTGTCTCTTTTTTGTCTCTTTTTTGTCTCCTTTAATATATTTCTCTCTGTCCCTTTTTTGTTTCTTTTTGTCTCTCTCTATCTTTCTTTTTTTCTGTCTCCTTTTCTGTCTCTTTTTATATTTCTCTTTCTCTTTCTGTTTGTTTGTCTCCTTCTGTCTCCTCTCGCCTCTTTCTTGTTTTTATTTGTTTTTTTTTTTTTTATTTTTTTTTTGTATATTTATCATTTCTG